AAGTTAACTCCCATTAGTCTAGTATATGAAGTTTCCGTAAATATATATTAGATAATAATAAAATATTTAATATTTTCAAATACAAATATTTCTTCAGTCGTCGAAAAAGTAGTTAACTAATAATAAAATCTTGGTAAAAAATAATTATATAAATTACAGTTTCGCATAATTAAACTAACGAAGTTTTATAGTTTTTTAGTTTAGTTTCAAATAAATAAAATTAGGGCACTATTAGATTATTTTATACTATCATCAAATAGGAGTGAAGGATGGATAAATATATAAGGGACTTTGACGTAGCAAAGATTGAAACTTTTAATCTTACAACTACGCATGAATGTAAAGAGGTACTGAAACTAAACGATAAAAGCAAACATTTTTCACTAATAAACACTAACATTTCTAGTGTAGGAAATCTCGACTGTAACGTTGACTGCATAGTACTTACCGAAACTTGGCAACTGCCAGACCCCAATATTTTTAAAATTCCAGGTTATCATCATGTTTATAACGGGGGTAATTATAATCAGAATGATGGAGTCTTGGTATACATAGGGGAAACTTACAATTATGATTATGAAATAATAGATATAAATAATTTCAAATTTATTTTAATACGTATCAAATTAGGATCTAAATCTGTCGCCATTACGGCATGCTATAGACCCTGTGGATCAGAAGCAAACGATTTTGTATTATCTCTCCAGGAATATTTTGATCAAATAACTGATAATAATGAAGTATATCACTTATTTACTGGAGATATTAACATTAATTTATTAGTCGAAACTCAAATCTTATGTGAATATTTAAACATTTTAAATGAACAGGGTTACATTTCTACTATAAATATTCCTACAAGAGTTCGAAATAACAGTAAAACTTGTTTGGATCACATTTTTTTAAAAACTAGATATAATAATTATTATGAGAATATTTTACCACTAGTATTACAAAATGACATAACAGATCATTATATTACTATTTTACAAATAATTATACAAGAAAATAATCTACAGCATGATCACAAAAATTATATAAAACATATAAATCATAACAAAATACTTGATATGGTAAAAACCGTTTCATGGGATTGGGTATACACCACGGATGATCCAGAATCTGCTATGAATAAATTTGTAAATATACTATCCAATATTATACAAAAAAGTACTACTTTTAGAAAATTTTATAGAAAAACTAAAACAATTGCACTATGGATCACAAGTTCACTACTAGATATGATAAATAAAAAAAACAAAATATTTAAACAATTACAGACAACCCCAAATAATTTGCAATTAAAAAATAAGTATAAGAGTTATCGAAACGCATTAACAAATAAAATTCAATCCACTAAATTTAACTATTTTAAAAACCAAATTGATTTAAATAAAGGCAGTTCTAGCGAACTATGGCGCATTGTCCAAAGTCTGAGTGGGAGCACAAAACTCCAAACTAAAATTGAAAAAATTAAAAATGAAGATGATGAAATGTTATTAAATGCTAACGACATCTGCAATGAATTTAATGTACAGTTTGCTAAAGTGGGAAAGAATTTGGCAAACAAAATTGTAAATGATAATTCTCATAAGTTTACTAAAACTACACAAAATAATTCAATGGTGTTCCTAGAAACAAATGAAGTTGAAGTTTTAAATCTGATCAAAGGCTTAAAAAATAAGAAGTCGCTGGGTTGTGATGATATTTGTGCAGAAGTTTTAAAAGTTGTGGCATCTTATATAGGAAATCCGTTAACATATATACTAAATAATTGCATTAA